ATATTGGGTCAAGATGTAGAAGACCTGTGAGAGGACAACAGGCTATACTTATAAGTTTCGGATTTATGAGGGAAAAGAGTCACTGGAGCCCGCCCGGTGGGCTCCACAAAAGCCCGCCCGGATGCCCAAACTACATGGGGAGCAGTGGTAAGATAGTTTGGGACTTGGTGTCATCATTTCTCCATAACAGGTACCACTTATACGTGGACAATTTTTATTCAAGCGTGCCACTATTTAGACATTTATTCAATCTTGGAACTGGCACTTGTGCAAAGTGTGACCTAATGTGTGGCCACCATTAGAAATGTGAGTGGATGCAGGGCGGTATATTCTAATGGTGGGCATACCACACACTTTTTCTGGCAGAGATTTCTTCTCATTTTTTCATTCAGTCCACTGGCTGCATACAAAAAATAAAGAACATAGCATATATAACCAACAAGGACCAGCGATGTACTGGTACATCACTGGATTTGAATGGTTATACCAGGATGATGCCTACAGCTGCAGGCATCATCCTGGTATCGTTTTTTTTCAGCCGGGGATCGGCTTTCATGTAAAAGCAATCCTAGAGGCTAATTAGCTGCAAGATTGCTTTTACAACAGTGGGAGATGATGTCCCCCCCCCCCGCTGCCTTCCATGGCCTTCTGGGGGCAGTCCCATGCCATCAGGGGAACCTGAGAATGCAGCCGGTATTTCTGCCAGCTGACCATAGAGCTGATAGGAGACCAGAATGGTGCCAATTATCTCTATAGTCTAAGAATTCGGAAGCTACAAGCATTTCATCACTTCAGTTTTCGCAGGATATAAACAGTGCCATTTGTAAATTGGGAAAGCATCTGATCACACCGATTTTGGTTTGATTAGATAATGTAAGGGCAGAGGAGATATCTAGAGTCTGATAGACCCAAGATTATTCAAAAAAGAATATGACAATGCCCATTGGGGTTATTTGCATTCCCTGTTATAGCATTAAAAGCGATAAAAAAAAAAAAAAAAAGAAAGGTACAATGTAAAAAAAAATAAAAAAAAATAAACTAAAAAAAAAATAAAAATAGCCCCTCCCATGCGCGCACACCTTTGTGCACAAGCCTTGACCCTGTGCCGTTATGTAAACAGCGGTTGCACCATGCATGTGAGGTATTGCCGTGAACGTCAGATCAAGGGCAGTAATTCTAACACTAGACCTCCTCTGTAAATCTAAAATGGTGACTTTTAAAGGCTTTTAAAGCGCTGCCTATGGATATTAAAAATGTTTGCAGTTTGTCGCCATTGCACGGGGCATGCGCAGTTTTAAAGCATGTCATGTTTGGTATATATTACTCGGCATACCATTATCTTTTATATTTTACCAAACAATTGGCCAATATATTGTGTTTTTGTGCATTAAAAGTAAAAAAAGTGTATTTTTTTTTTTTAAATTGCTTTTGAAAAATCGCTGCGAGTACTATGTTCCAAAAAAAATTGTAGTACCCACCATTTTATTCATTAGGGTGTCTGCTTTAAAAAAATATATAATGTTTGGGGGTTTAAATTAATTTCCTAGCAAAAAATACTGATTTTTTTCATGTGAACAAAAAGGCTTGGTCTTCAGGTGGTTAGAAGTGTGAAAATGATGTGTGGCATAAACTTCTAATGCTGGGCATAAAACACCCCCCACCCCCCAAATCGACCCCTTTTTGGAAAGTAGTCACCCCAAACTATTTGCTGAGAGGAATGTTGAATGAATAGAAGAATTTATTTTTTTACCACAAGTTTTTGGAAAATGACAAAAAATATATATATATTTTTTTTTTTACACAAAATTGTCACTTAAATGATTTACTGCTCACACATGCCATGGGTATATGTGGAATTACTCCCCAAAATACATTTTGCTACTTCTCCCAAGTATGGGGGTACCACATGAGAGAGACTTTTTGGCAGTCTAGCCAAGTACAGGACCCCAAAATCCAATAAGCACCTTCAGGCTTTTAAAGGGCTTTATTTCCTCATTACACTTCCAGACTACCTATCACAGTTTCGGAGGCCCTGAAATGCCAGGATAGCACCTAACCCCCCCAAATTACCCCTTTTTGGAAAGTAGACGCCCCAAGGAATTTGATAAAAAGCACCATAAGTATTTTGCAGATCTCATTTGTTGCCACAAGTTTTTGGAAAATGAAGAAAAAAAACAAAAACATTTTTTCAATTTTTTTTACATTTCAAAACCTTGTGAGAAAAAAATGAGATCTGCAAAATGCCTCACCATGCCTCTTTTTAAATTCCTTGGGGTGTCTACTTTCCAGAAAGGGGTCATTTGGGGGGGTTTGGGGCTATCCTGGCATGTCAGGGCCTTCGAAACTGTGATAGGTAGCGAGGAAGCGTAATGAGGAAGTTATGCACCTTCAGGCTTTTAAAGTGGTCATTGGATTTCAGGCTCCTCTATGTGGCTAGGCTCCAATAAAGTCTCACACATGTGGTAGCCCCATACTCAGTAGAAGTAGCAGAATGTATTTTGGGGTGTAATTCCACATATACCCATGGCTTGTGCGAGAAATAAATAATTTAAATGACAACTTCGTGTGAAAACAAAACAAAAAATTTTTTGTCATTTTCCAGAAACTTGTGGAAAAAAAAATAAATTTTCCATGGACTCAATATGCCTCTCAGCAGATAGCTTAGGGTGTCTAATTTCCGAAAAGGGGTCATTTGAGGGTGTTTGTACTATCCTGGTATTTAAGCACCTCAAGAAATGTGATGGGCAGTCAGAAAGTAAAAGCTATGTAAATTCCATTATCTATACCAGTTTGTAGACGTTATAACTTTCACAAAAAGCAATCAATATACATTTATTGGGATTTTTTTTAACCAAAAACATGTAGCAGAATACATTTTGGCCTAAATTTATGATGAAATTTTAGTTTTTTTTAGATATTTTTTATGACCAAAATGAGAAAATGTATTTTTCAAAAAACATTTTTTTTCTTCAAAACTTTTTCTGGTTATAGCGCCAAAAATAAAAAGTGCACAGGTGATCAAATACCACCAAAAGAATGCTCTATTTGTGTTAAAAAAGGAAATAAATTTCATTTATGTACCGTATTGCATGACCGCGCAATTGTCCATTAAACTAGCGCAGCGCTGTATAGCAAAAAAATGTTGTCAATTGCAGTATCTATACCATAGTTTGTAGACGCTATAACTCACACAAAGCAATCAATATACACTTATTGGGATTTTTTTTACCATTTTGGCCTACATGTATAACTAACTGTCAGGGCAGGAGCTGTGGAACGGACAGGCAGGCCTAGTGGCAGGGAAACGCACCGACTGACGACAACCACCACCCACAGACCGGAGTCCCTCAGGGTGCGGAGTCTAAGTCCTAGGCTGCCCTTCACCAGGGCCCCCGATGGTGGGGATGGACTTGACGCAGCCAGGAACCAGGTCGCGGCCCCTGAGACACCCCAGCTGTGGTAATGGCCACCGCCAATGGCGTGTAGCTGGTAGGAACCAGATCAGACAAAGCGTAGTCGGGCAGGCCGGGTCGATAACAACGGGACAAACGATACAGAACGGTAGACAAGAATAACAGGTCACAAGCCGGGTTCAGCAACGGAAGGTCAGATCAATGGAAAACGCAGAGAATGGTCTAGTCAAAAGCCGAGTCAGTTTCCAGGAGAGCCACGAGAGTATAAACAGAGCTATAGCAACACTAACACACAAGACACGAATGCAAAGAGTACTTGCAGACAGCAAGCTTAAATGTGATGAACCACACCCTTCTGAGGAGGAGCCGCAGAAGCCTGAAGGCATAAAGGTTCCCGCCATGCTTTGCAGAAACCCAAAATGGACGCCAGCACATGGGATGCACAAGCTCTGAGGAAAGGTAGGACCTTGACACTAACTTTGATTTTTTTAGTATATATTTTTTATAGGTGAAAGTAAAAAATATAGTTTTTCTTCAAAATATTTGGTCTTTTTTTTTGTTTATAGCGTGAGAAAAATAAAAAGCGCACAGGTGATCAAATACCACCGAAAGAAAGCTCTATTTGTGTGAAAAAAAGGACGTAAATTTAGTTTGGGTACAGCATTGCATGACCGCGCAATTATCAGTTGAATTAGTGCAGCGCCGAGTAGCAAAAAGAGGCCTGGTCATTAAGGGGGGTAAATCATCTAGAGGGCAAGTGGTTAAATGCAAACAAGTGTCTATAAACAAAGGTTTTTTTTTTTACATATACAGTTTTGATATAATCTTCACAATTATTGCACATTATATATATGATTTAACCACTGCAAGTCCGGGCACTTTCACCCCCTTCCAGTCCAGGGCCAATTTTTAGCTTTCAGTACTATCACGCTTTGAATGACAATTACACGGTCATACAACACTGTATCCACATGAAATTTTTAGCATTTTTTTTGACAGAGCTTTCGTTGGGTGGTATTTACACACCACTGGGATTTTTATTTTTTTGCTATATACAGTGGGAGGCACATATGCAAACTGTTGTAATTCCTACACCGTTCACCTGATTTGGATGTACCCTCAAATTAAAGCTGACAGTCTGCAGTTAAAGCACGTCTTGTTCATTTCATTTCAAATCCATTGTGGTGGTGTATAGAGCCAAAAATGTTAGAATTGTGTCGATTGTGTCCTAATATTTATGGACCTGACTGTAAATGAAAAAGACCAAACATTTTGAAAAAAAAGTGTTTTTCTTATACAATTTTGCAAATAAATAATCTTTCTTCATAAATCTTGGCCAAAATGTATTCATCTATCTTTTTAGTAAAAAAAATAACCCAATTTAATTTATAACCAAAAATATTAATTTTTTTAACTTATGTTTTTTTTTTGTTTTTACATACTGTCACCCTAGCAGTACAGTGTCACCATAGTGACACTGTACTACTTGTGGGGGGTGATGAAGATTTTTCTTTTGCACTGCTTGCTTTTACACCCATAACGGCTGTAAAAGCAATTATTTATTTCTCTCTGGCTGCATGCCTGCAGCCACTGAGAAATTTCTGTGCGAGCTGTGATTGGTCACAGCTTGTCACATGGTACAAGGCTGTTGTGAATAGCCTTGTACAATGTGACCTCTGTGATCATTCGCAGATTTCACAAGTAGTAAGCAAAATGATGTCAGGAAGTGACATCTTGTTTACTACTGTTCATGTGATCACTGATTGGCCAGAGGTCCTGTACAGCGATCTGTGTTCCGCTGTGTCCTCCGGAACAGCGGGCACCGATCGCGGTGCCATGCACTCCCGGAGAGCGCACACAGGCATTGGTTGCGGGGGGACATTTAGAAACGTCCACCTGCATCGGCAGTGCTCCCATCCGAACGTTTATCAGCATGGGCCAAACAGGAAGAGGTTAATATTGTGAGTTTAAAGACACACAGCTTTCTGCAGTAATTGTATTTTTATCACACAATTGTTTAGGTTGATAGAGCAATGTTTGCACATGTTTTATTGCACATTGATTGTATATTCATATGAATATATAATAGAACTGCCCCCTTTTTTGGTGATCAACTGGCAATTAGCACAGGAAAGGAGTGGTGTTAGTAAATATGCAAGTCCATTTACACCCCCCTGTCCAAACAACTGCATTGAAGCTTCAGATTAGGTTCACCTGAAAAACTGACGTGTGTGTGTGTGTGTGTGTGTGTGTGTGTGTGCGTGTGTGCGTGTGCGTGTGTGTGTTCAAGGTTGGAGACGGGATCAGCAGAGTCTGCTGAACAATTTTTCTATAAGTTCATGGTCACAGTAGTGACCATGAGCTTACAGCAGGAGGAGGAATGTCAGGTCTGTACGGCATATGGACCTGGCCAGCTAAAAGCAGGAGCTCTTTTTGACCCTACTTCTCCTATGTATCAGAGAAATGAACTTCATTCTGCACTCCTGTGACCAATATTCATCCGACAGTGGAATAATGTCTGCAGTTGGCTGACATCACTCAGCCTGCCCAGAATCTGGAGGGATCCTGACTTTAATGTTGGGATCTACCCAGATGCATGACCAGCAGCTAGCTCAGCTTTCCCCATGTCGCTATATTTGCTCAAAACCTATACAGACTGTACTTAATGTTTAGCAGAGGTGTATGACTGAGCCTTGATGTGCTTGTCAGACTAACAGACGGCTCTATGTGGCTAATTGCTCTAATTTCAGAAATCATCTCTAACCTTTTCAGAGAGAAAATACTGGCAGTGGTAGGTACAATATTCAGTTAATACCTTCAATTTGGTAGGTCTTATAAATGGTTGATTATTCATAAATCTGCAAGCTAGCCTCTTGTTGGCTGATCATGGCCCTGGCATCTGAGAGGGCTCTATTCTTTGGTGCGTGTCTGGGGGGGACCTTTGGAGTAGTTTACTTTGGATTCATGTCTCCCCAAAACACACCAAGGCTCCTGCATTAAGAAGAGATTAGCCTGATGTCAGATTGTGTGATGTTTATCTCAATGTGTAATTTTTGTTTTATTGTGGGCACTGCCCCTATTTCTGGGGTGTATAAAAACCTGTGTTTTCTGTTCAATAAAGAGTTCCAGTTTGGCATCTAAGCTAGTCTCGTCTAGTCTTGGGTGCAATGCTCAGTTATAATACATTGGTCCTGTGTCCCAGTGGCGAGGAAGTAGTTTTCTGATGAAATCACGTAATCGGGGTGACAGGCATCACACTTAATATAAATACGGCTGTTCTGTGAAGCTCTCAGAGGTTTTTTAGAGAACATTGGTGAACAACAGCATCACAAAGGCCAAGGAACACACCAGGCAGGTCAGGGATAAAGTTGTGGAGAAATTTAAAGCAGCGTTAGGTAATAAAAATATCTCAAGCTTTGAACATCTCATGAAGCACTGTTTAATCCATCATCCAAAAATGGAAAGAGTATGGCACAACTGCAAGCCTACTAAGACATGGCTGTCCACCTAAACTGACAGGCCAGGCAGGGACTCAGAGAAGCAGCCAAAAGGCCCATGGTAACTCTGGAGGAGATGCAGAGAGTTCAGGTGGGAGAATCTGTCCACAGGACAACTATTAGTCATGTACTCCACAAATTTTGCCATTATGGAAGAGTGGCAAGTTGAAAAGAAAGATATAAGAAGTCCCGTTTGCAGTTTGCGAGAAGCCATGTGGGGGACACAGCAAACATGTGGAAGAAGGTGCTCTGGTCAGATGAATCTAGAATTTAACTTTTTGGTCTAAAAGCAAAATGATGTGTGGCGCAAAACTAACACTGCACATCACCCAGAACACACCATCCCCACTGTGAAACATGGTGGTGGCAGCAGAATGTTGAATGGATGCTTTTCTTCAGCAGGGACAGGGAAGTTGGTCAGAGTTGATGGGAAGATGGATGGAGCCAAATACAGGGCAATCTTAGAAGAAAATCTGTTAGTCTGCAAAAGACTTGAGAATAGGGCTGAGGTTCACCTTCCAACAGGACAACGACCCTAAACATACAGCCAGGGGTACAACTGAATAATTTAGATCAAAGCATATGCATGCGTTAGAGTGGCCCAGTCAAAGTCCAGACCTAAATCCAATAGAGAATCTGTGGCAAGACTTGAAAGTTGCTGTTCCCAGACGCTCTCCATCCAATCTGACAGAGCTTGAGCTATTTTGCAAAGAATGGGCAAAAATTTCACTCTCTAGATGTGCAAACTGGTAGAGACATGCCCAAAAAAAACTTGCAGCTGTAATTGCAGCAAAAGGTGTTTCTACAAAGTATTATGCTGAATACAAATGCACGCCACACTTTTCAGATATTAATTTGTAAAAAATGTTGAAAACCATTTATCATTTTCCATCCACTGCACAATTATGCGCCACTTTGTGTTGGTCTATCACACAGAATCCCTGTAAAATACATTTTCGTTTTTGGCTGTAATATGACAAAACGTGGAAAATTTTAGGTATGAATACTTATTCAAGACACTGTATGCATCAAGGATTGCTGACTGTTGTACATCTCTGGTGAAAAATATTTATGTCCCCCAGTGATAGGACTTTAAAGTGTTACTAAACCCAGGACATTGCATTCTGGTCTCCCACAGTACACAGAACATGCAAGTGAAATTATTTTAGTAAACAAACTGCTAAATACCTTTTCTCATTAGCAGTTACAGCAGACTTGTGCCCTCTATCAGTGTCCAGCAGAGCACATGTTATAGCCTGTAGGAGGAGTTTTCATTCTGTTCTAGGAGGATGCAGAACCTCTGACTGGACAGTGCTGATTGGCATTGTGCTGATCACATGAACCCAAGAAAAAAAAACCCTCTCTAGCAATACACACCAAACTGAGCACGTGCAGAGTGACTCCACATGATATGTCTTATCAGGAGATAAGAGGGGGAAACTGGAAGAAGGGGGGATCAGAGAGAAGTCAGGATCAAACAGCATTTTACACAATGCATAGGATTATTCCCTTAGGATCCACAGTGAGTATAACAAGCATGCTTTACTACATATACAGACTGGATTTGCTGTTGTGGGTTTAGTAACACTTTAAGAACAGTCCACCATGGGTCAATAATGGCTATAATTCATCAAGGGATGAGTATTGGAGAGAGGCTGGCATTTCTTCTATTGGTATGGAAGAAATGACCATACCTTGCTTGGTTGAAATCCACTAAGCTAGGAAGCTCCTTTTATGACTGGATAGAAGTATAGGGAGGTTGAGGGGGAAGGAGAGGGTAGAGAGAGGGGTTTTATGCCAACAACATTTTACATGACTTGCTGATATTAATCTGAGGGACTAATTTGTTTTCTGGAAGAAATACTTTTGCCTGGACTGTGTCTACAATGAAGCTAATGTATCCAGGCAAAAGCAGAGTTGGAGAGCAGATTTTAGAAAGTTGTTTACCGAACCGAAAGCCTGAAGTATCTGAATAGTACTGTGGATATTTGTAGACAGCTGGAAAGGAAAGGAGTCCTTCAGGTGAAAGATATTAGATACCTAATTGCCCTAAGTTATTTAACCACTTGTCTACCGGCACTTTCGCCCCCTTTCTGCCCAGGCCAATTTTCAGCACTGTCGCATTTTGAATGACAATTACACGGTCATGCAACACTGTACTCATATGAAATTTGTAGCATTTTTTTGAGACAGAGGTTTCTTTTGGTGGTATTTAATCACCTCTGAGTTTTTTTATTTTTTGCTAAACTAACCAAAAAACTGAAAATGTTAAAAAAAAAATTTTTTTTTCTTAGTTTGTTATAAAATTTTGTAAATGAGTAATTTTTCTCCTTCGCTGATGTGAGCTAATGAGGCTGCAGTGATGGGCACTGATGGGCATTGACAGGCATCACTGATAAGTGGCGCTGACGGGCACTGACAGGCGGCACTGACGGGGCTACACTGATCATCAGTGTAGATGTCCCCCTCTGAGGAATGTCAATTGCCGGTCTCCTCTCCTCACGAGCTGTCAGCGGCATTTCCTTCCTCATTTACATGCAATCAGCTGTGATTGGACACAGCGGATCACATGAGAGAGCCGAGGTCATCAGCGATCAACTGTGTCCCAGGGACACAGCACACCACTGATCGTATCGCTGCACGCCGCCGGAGGTGCGCACGTGCAGTTAGAGTGGGAGGATGTCATATGACGTCTGCCCAGAACAAGAGAACCACTGTCCATCCGTCATTTCCTTATATGGCAGGCGCGAGGCGGTTAAGGGGAAAAGGGAGAAAGGTGGGGTGCAAGTATGTTTGTGAATATCTTGTGAGCAGAGGATAGGTCAAATGGCAATGCAACAACTGAACGTGCTTGTCTCCTAATGAGCAGTGCAGAAGGAGCCTGAAGAGTTGGATAAATAGGAATATGCAGATAGGCATCATGGGTGCCTATAGATGTTAAATACTTCCCTTGTCAGAGAGGTGAAAACTGACCTTGCAGATTCCATACAAAATTTTGAAACTTGAAGGTACTTGTTTAGGGATTTTAGATCCAGGATAGGATGAATACTCCCTCTTGGGTTGTTGTACCCTGAACAGGCTTGAACAGAATTTTTAAACCTGTCCAGTAGAGGTACTGGAACAACCACTACCTGGTACAAGAGAGGGTTCAGGGAGTTCTGCAGAGTTGACTGTCCTTGAGAAGATCTTCGTTGG